CTGTATTATACCCATCTATATTAGCTCTCCAGTAAAAGTCGCATCAAAATCAGCCTAGCTGTTTCTAAGATTATCCCAAAAAACCACTGTTTGCGGACAAAAAGACAGAGACAAATTTATTTAAAACCGGTTTTGCGTTATTAGCTGCATAAATACATTATGTTCAAGTAAAAAGTTTTTTTTTTGTCGATGTTACATCCAGACTGGCACTCAAAATTTTATTAACTGTACCTATAGATAAGGTTTTACATGCAAGCGGGGACCTAAATTCGCCGAAACAGGATAAAAAAAGTTTGCGCTGCCTGTGCGCTATAGCTGTACCGGTGCTATGCTATAACAGTTGATGCGAGTGTCACACTAAAACCTTCATAAGTACAATGTGAAAGGGTGGGTACCTTCGCAGCCGCCCCCGCCCCCACCCCACCGCCCCGGCCCGCGTACTACTTGTGCTGGCGCGCCGCCAGCGGCGAGGGGCCATTGTACACATTTAAAGAGCAATGCCATCAAACCATCTTATTATACAGATTTGGAACACAATATTATTGGAATTCCTTTACTGAACTTTAGATTATTTGTTAGATAAATTCACTGTGGACACGAGCCTCGAGTGCCGCAATCGACGGTAGATGGTGGATCTCCTGCCACAGCCTCCAGGAAGTCCCGTGTCCATCACTCTCACGCCCGTGCAGATAAATTGCAGTGCGGTGAGACGCACGGGGTTCGCGGGGTGGAGGTGCGGGAGGGGCGCGCAACTGGGTCAACAATTCACCGTTGACCTATTTGTAACAGATCGTAATCAAATCTCAAGTATTAATATTACTTACGCTCTTTATCGCCGGCAGTGTTTAGAGAACCTCTACATATATTGTTCGGGAACTTTAGTGGTTTTATTGTCCTTAAATTGTAAGTAACCAAAATACTTTGAAACTGTTGCCATCGTTACATACACATCACTGTCATTCGATCAATATTCTAAATGATGGTGCCCGTAGTCTTCTTTATTATGTATGTAAGTACTACTAGTTTGATAAGAATTGAAGTGGTATTGATTTTTCCTCTGTACCCCCTACTACTGTTCCCATAGTCTGCCGCTGCCGTATGTCGGTGTAAGTGTTGGAAAAAAATCAGCTGAATAAATAAAATTAAACCTTTTTGTATTTTATTAGTATTGTCACTGTATCCAATTATAATTATAATTTCTTAGCCGTTCATATGTGTTATGGATTTATTTTCAAACAAATTGCTTCTACTCTACTCGTACGAGCAGCAATGTACATGCAATTAGGTATATCTTTCTTAGATGGGTGGATGGATATTTATAAGAGTTGATGGCTTAAAAGACTAAACGGAGCTCTATGATATTTAGCATAGATGCGGAGGATAGTCTAAAAGAACACATAATCTACTTACTTTCATTTTTTAATATAAGCGGACGGAGTCACGGGCGAAGGTAGTAATGTGATAAAGTTGTGATATTCTTAGATATCTACAATGCCACATCGAGTATACATCATAACTTTTGAGTCCGGCTATCAGATAAGGTCAAGGGCGAGTGCTACTCTCCGGATCTTGGACCAGATAGTGATATTAAATCTTGTGGCGTTTTGTAAAGTTGTGGAACATCTGATCAGTAAATAACAGTTATTCACTGAGGCATCAGACATATCAGGCATCGTAGCATCTTAGCACAATAGCACGTCAAAAGGTTTCTAAAAATTTCAATTTAAAACTCCTCGTGTTGAACAATTGCAGAAAATCACATATATTATAAAACATTTTTATGATTCTAATGTTCATTCGAAGTCAATATTGCCTAGTGGCAAGCGACTAACGGCAAGGGGCTACGCTTCACAAGCAGTGGTATAAAACGGTTTTTAATTTGTTTATTTATTTAACTAGATTTCACTTTTTTTTTTAAATTTATGATCCATACCAAGGATTAAAATTCAAATGGGTTCAGAATAAGTAAGTTAATTGTCGATTCCGCATATCGCTCTCATTGGCACGTGACTCGCATGCTTCCTGCCGGAGATGCTCCGCGCCCCGCTCTCTTCGCCCCGCGCCTTGAAATCTTCGCCGTGTACTACGAGTACGCACAAAAATATTCATGGTTCGAGTGACGACTGCGATAGAAGCTTTAAAAATAATATTTGAACATGAACATCACAAAACCTCATGTCCAATTGCAATTGAAGAGGTCTATGAACAACAGTCGCTTATATTTTTGCGGATTCGGATAGCCGCTTACGTAGAATTTAAAAAAAAAGTAAGTAGAATATGTGTTCTTCCAGACTATCCACTACATTTACTTATGACAAATGTCATCGACATCCGTTCAGCCATTTAGGCTACAAACTTTAATAAACGCCCATCCATCCAACTAAACATTTGCATTTATAATATTTGTAGGAAGTAAGATTCAGTACTTTCGTCAGTAAAAGTAAGAAATTAGCGTCATTTCATAGTTTTAACTAGCAATAAGTTACGATTCGGTTAACAGTTACGTCTACTCTTCCGCTGGCAGCAGCAACTAGTTTACAATATTTTTTCTTTTTATATGTATACTTTGTATGTTTTTTTTTAATACTGAGCGGACGGAGTTATGTAAAAAAGCTAGTAGAAAACAAATAAATTTTCGCTTGATAGTTTGTTTGAAATTATCTTAATGTTCTAAACTATAATGTTCGACTTAATTTAAAATTATCTAAAGCTAACTTTATAATCCAGCATGTTTTTAATATCATATTGTAATCTAACCTAACCTATCTGGTTTGATTTTTGTTGTTATTATATTTACCAGTACTAAGGTTACATTATGAGTAATCTCTGGTACATGTGACGTATTTCTTAGTGTTACCACTAACGTTGGTAATTATTGGTAATGTCCGAAAATTATGAATAACTAACTTTCATTACATTACATTTACCGTGTCATAGAAATTAGAAATCAAATTAGATTCAACGATGAACGCCTCGGAGGTTCAGTTGAAAGGACGTGCAAGCGAGACTGACGTATCGTTTACGTTAACTAATTTATATTTTTATCCCGCTCAGTCGACCGACCACGACGCGAAGTGACATCGCGCCGGCGAAGTTACGGCAAACTTACGCCGATTTAATTGTGAGGGAGGTGTAGATAAACTGTGCGCTACAACTCTATAAGGTGCCTGCTTTGGCTGATACCGAAACCCATCATTTATTCAACTAGTGTACATATCAATGATGATTATCATATATCACTGAGATAGTCTTTTGCTAATAGGAAGGTATTTAATGGTCCAACTTTACACCATAGCAAGGTACTACGTACTTTTAATGTCACAAATAATGAAACATCTAAGTAATTATCTCGTATGTAAACTTGAGTGTATTCTTAAAAATGTGGTATGTATTCCGAAAGACCACGGGTGGAAGAATGCGGTGCCGGGGAATGGGCACGTCCCGACACCCCCGAGCTCACCCCGCTTTAACAGCACTCAAACTTCCACAAAAAAACTAACTAAATTGAACTACTCCAAAATCAACTTCTTAAACTATGTTGAGTCCAATGACGTATTTTATTCACGAGTACTTATCCGGCTGTGAATGCTGGGGGCATTCGGTGCAGTGACACTTACTATATATTTTACACACATTGCTTTCTCTGTTGTTGCCAAAGAGAAGAAAGTGAAAACAACATTAACACAACTGTAGGTTTAAAAAAAATGAAAATCATCCTTCGACCATATTTTGTTAGAAACAATTTATCTTACAACTATGGTTAGTCGATACAATTATTAAAGTAGTCCGTCCTTGATAGAATGCTGGTTTTATATACATATGGTATGGTATATGCAGTCCTATGAACCTATCCAGCACAGCATAAAAAAGAAAAAAACTAAAACTAATCGTACTTTTGCGCATTCTAGCAAAAAAAACATCAATCCTCGCATCGGAAAACATGACTGAGGCGCTGCCACATCTAGGCGGCACCAACAACATTTAGTTTGTCATGACTGCATGGATTGCGTGTAGAGTGGAGGCGAGCACGAGACAGCGCGCGCCGACCTACTTTGCGGCTCTCGAATTCAAATCGATATATCTCTTGCTGATGCTAAATTTATATATCTTTATAAAAAAAATGAACTTTTTGCTTCCCGGAAGAACTGAAAATTAAATAGGTATATGTACTACAGTGGAACCTTTTTGCAGGAAAGTTCATCATGTCTCATTACGTAGAGTCACTGCTGCGCCGGCGGGCGGTGGCGGCAGGAAATCAAAAGTAACTAAATTTCCCGCGCGGCAGCGGCTGATGCTGATCGAATGCAGCCGCAGCCCGCGCCCTGCCGCCTTGCCGCCTTGCCTGCTTGTTAATTAAAAGTCTGAACAGTATTTAAAAATAAACTTTATTTTTAAGAAAAATTACTTTTTTTTTAATAAATGAAGAACAAATAAAATCCCATAAATCCTTATAAAGGTCTTAAACAACAGTTTACCGCGAGGTTCGCCTTTCATTAAATTGTAATCCTTACACATTTTATATTTAATTAAAAATTCGCAGAAAACGTGTTGAATAAGAAGCGACCGGCCGGCCCTGGCTCCGCTTGGATCACAACGGTAACATTCATCATAAGTACACATCTTTATTTGAATGCCGGCGGTTATCTTGTAAACTCTTAAGATTTAAATTACAATCTGATGTTATTATAAGCGTAATTAAATTAACTTTGACCAGAAAAAATTAGCCACTGGCAAAGGTATATTGACGTCGTCAAACCCGCAAAGCACTTAATCCGCTACTTTAAAAGCTTCCTGTAAGTGAGAAGGTAATGGCCGAACCGACACTTCGACACTGCGACACTCGGACGCCAAGTTAGGTCTCTGCACTCAAATACGCAGGCTCGTGCTGCCGGCGAGGGCTCACTGATCAGCGAATAAAACTACGCATTATAAACAATCTTTTTAATTTCGTATCTATCAAAAGAAATTCGACTGATTTTTGATCATTACTCAATTCGTCGTAAAAACTATCATTACAATATTATATTTACAGTATACTTTGTGGAGGTTTAGGGGGAGTCAGCGGGGCGGCGGGGGTGGGCGGGGCTTGGCGGCCGCGTAGGCGATCTCCGAGAGACGCACGTCGATGGGCGCGCGTTCGTCGTACAGTGTGGGCGCCTGCAGGATGATGCCGGCGGAGCCCACGACCACGGCCAGCGTGAAGATCCACAGGAACAGCCGGTCCAGCACCATCGCCACGTACTTCCAGTCCTCTTTCACCTTGCGCCACAGTAAAACATACTTCTTACCGGTTAAAGAAATTAATGTGTTGCCATGCTAATATTATTTTGATAGCAGCAACTCTTAGAGACGGCTTGTTAAGTAAAATATAATAAATACTTAAAAATAAGAACATGTTCTTATCTACTCAGAATTAACAGCCTTAAAAAATCGCTTGATAAATTGCGGCACTGATGGTTAGTTTTGCTTAAAATATTTCAAGAAAAGTCTTCGTAGTATCATAGTATACGAGTATTTATACGTTTTATATATAGTTTCTTATATATTATTTGAACCTGTGCCGATAACGCTTCTACGGTTATCTTATTATTAGGGGAGTCGCTGCTCGTTTGCCTCCCTGTCCCATAAAAACAACTTGTTTCAAAACAAAAAGGTCTCGATGCTGTGTTATTTAGTTAATTAATAAGTTGAAGGTGACAGTGTCACAGAAGATGCGGCTGATGTCAATCGTCATCCCTCGAGGGACCTTCATCATCAAAGGCTATTACAATATTATACGTTTAAACACTTACCCTTGTGGATTCCTCTTCTTTGCGCGTCTGGTCCGCAATGTAGTTGATGCCGTCGATGGCTTTGTGCAGCTCCGGGCAGCGGTGCCAACGGCGCAGCGCGGCGCAGAGCGCGGGCGCGTCGGCCGGCCCCGGCGCTCCCGGCGCTCCCGGCGGCGAGCCCGGCCGCGAGCCCGGCCGCGCGCCGTGCAGCCGGCACGCGCCCGCTCCGCTCTGCGCGCACGTCAGCTCCGTGGCCTCGCGGGCCATTATGCCCGCACTTTCAACACAACTTGATCTCATGTTCAATGCGTTACATTATAAGATATTTTAAATTTAAGTTTTAAAGAGATTTTAAAGTAATACTTAAGTAACATGAAAAAAGAAATATTTGATTACACCAACAATTACTTTAGTAAAATGAGTACTTCTTAAGCGACTTTTGCCACTTTAAAGTCTCACAGTTTATATGCGTAAAATAAATAACCAGAAATCTTCGATTATTTCGCGATTTTATATTATATGTACCTTCTTTGAATTTGTGTTAACTGTTGATAAACAGGCGATTTTAGCAATTATAAAAGTTACAAACTTTACATGACTATCTTCATTAAGGAGTGCAGGGGTGAGGGCAGAAGAGAGAAGAGAGGGGGACTTACAAGCGGCTGCGGTGCGGGTCAAGGCGGCAGTGCGGCCGCCGCATCACCAGCAGCCGCGGCAGCACGTGGATGAAGACGCGGCGCACCCACGGCGCCATCGTGTGCGTCTGCGGCGACCGGAAGTGCACGTTCAGCACCACCACCGTCACGCAGATACTGTCGCATACACAAACACACACTCGCGTTACGTCGACGATTCTTGATCCCGAGCCGCTATTCATATTTACAGCGACTAGATATTTTATACGAACTATTTGCCCATTCAATAGAAGAGACATGAAGCTCGCCAGCATGATACCATGCGACCGAGCGACGTACCTGAAGGTGTCGAGGATCATAGTGAAGAGCACGAACTTCCCGAGCAACGGTACGACGAGCGAGGTGGGCGGGATGATCTCGGCTAGCAGCAGGAAGAACACCGTCAGCGACAGCAGGATAGAGATGGAGAGCGAGACCTTCTCCCCGCTGTCCGAGGGCAAGTAGAATACGAGCACGGTCAAGAACGAGATGCCCATGCAAGGTATGATCAGGTTCACCGTGTAAAAGAGCGTCTTACGACGCATTGTGATGTTGAACGTGATGTCCAGGTAGGGCTCGTCGCAGCACGTGTAGAACTTCTCGTTTCTGCCAACACAACACTACTTACAGCGGCGAGCACGTCCATACTTACTCATTATGTTCCGCACAAAGATGATTGTCGACAACTTTAAACTACCTTTCACAAACTGAACATTGCTTATAGTATTAGTAATACCTATTGTAAATAGTTTAGCGATATTCCTCGGCTTTTCGAGGACAGCTAACCTATATCAAAAACATTCAGTAGCTAAATCGTTATGTAAAGATTTAAGACCAATGTGTATTAAGTTCTATGAGTTTTGCTAATAAATCCTTTATTTACTCATTGCAAAACATTTCTTAACGATTACTAAAACTATACCTCCGGATGTATGTTAAGTTCATCAGTTTGACAACTCGCGCCTATGAAGTATCGATTTTATTTTCTGTATGACATGTAATAGCGTACTTAAGTTGTCAATGTCGTAGGTAAGGAACACATGTACCTATTGTTATATACGCACAACTAAAAATTATAACCATTTCTGGCTGAATTATAATATGAATTGGCAAACTAATAAAACATTTATTTGACAAGGTGACGCATATTTGTAATCATTCAAATCTACACTATTATAATAAAGCGTAAACACACACTTCTTTGTTGTCTTAGATGTCAGCAATTACAACATTATTTTGAATAATTCTTTTTCTAATAAAAAGCCCTACACTTACATACGTCACGCCTAAGCCTATATATTTTCACGCCATTAAACTTAGGGGGTAAACATTATGGATAAAATCCCTGATGTGGGAAAGAGACCATAAGTTGCTGCCAACATCAAGGAAGCAAAAATGCCATAGGGTTGAACTTGAACCTTACTATTAAGGTTATTGATATTTTGACATTTGCAATTGAGAATTTGAGAAATGTAAACAATAAAATAAAGTTGATATAATATCATACGGAGGACTCCGCATGGGAACAGCTAGTAATTAATAAAACACCTGACTGCGGGTACTTCGAGGATGTCCCATTCCACCGAAGTATAGAACTCTGAGAGGTCGACGCCCAGTTCGACGACGTTGGTGCCGCGCGCCTCGTCGATATGCCGCAGGTCCACCTGCACAGCAGACGGCACGCTCATTGAACACATATTGCTCCCACGTCGTCGAAACGTCAGTTGCACAACGTGCCCAGCGGCCATCTACCTGGAAGCCGTCGTACGTCCACGAGCCGAATTTCATGACGCATGTCTGCTGGTCAAAGGGGAAGTACTCGACGTCTATCTCGCACGAGGACTTGTAGATGGCGGGCGGGCGCCACTCGACTCGGCCCGTGTAGTTGAGCGTCGCCTTGGTGGCCAGCGTCACCTCGAAGTTGCCGTCGGCGCTGCCCACGGGTACATATACGATACATATGATCTGTATGTACGAGTATATGAGGATATGTCCTTACAGCAAACACTACAACTACATAACTACTCGTAATGTGAAAGAATGGGCTCTGTACCATGTCACGTTGGTTACATTTCATATTATCTTGTGATCTGCACAAAATTAATAAATGACATATTCTTTAAATAATAAAAAAGAAACATTTTATGATCTTGAATGAATCAAATTATCAATGATTACTAAATGTTAACCCATTTCGCTACCGTAATATGAAATGTTAGCTTCGTCTATACTTCGGAAAGTTCATGCGACGCGATGCGGGGGAAACCAATGGGAGCTAATGAAAGTAGACATCGAAAAATCGCGGCAAATTAAAAAAAATTAGGATTGCAACCAACCCAACATGAACATAGACTAAGACTATTTGATACTTTTAATATTTTTATTTCATGCACTTTATTTTTATAACTTTTGTGTTAAGAAATAGGCTCCAGCTAATGATTGTATTTAATTCCTTGCTACAAGATTTCTATTTCTGTTTCAACCTTTGGTAATATTTGTTCGATTTTATAGAGACTAACGTTCGCCTACGGATACTGTGACGTACGAGTAGATGTACATAAATATAGTACAAATTGCATAATTATAACATGATTTCCAAACCTCTTCTATAAAGTGGCTCATTGATTGATCAAAACTATCCATAACCCCGCCTATTTAGTTGTGGTATCCACATCACTGGCGACTTTTTTTTTTTAAGAGTCGAGAGTCGCAATAACAAAAGTCGCCGTGGTGTTGCACCGGGCGAGGGGCCACCAGTGCAGCAGCTACATGCTGCTGCGTACTTTACCACTGGGATTTTGTTTGCATGTAATATGAGTGTGAACTGATTTCTGACGACATCCGCAAGTTTCGCGTGAACTACAGATGTCACGCACGAGTATATCTCACTTGTTATACAGCACTATGTCGGGCCTCCAAATATGGTCGGAGGGCACATGCAACATCTCCACGCCGCCGTACTCGCGAGGCTCCCACGACAACTTGTAGTCGAACCAACTCTAAAAAAGTGCGTAAAATCATTGAGACGTTGTGCAGCGATCGTACTCTGGCCAAAAAGCCGCGACCATGGTCTTACCTGCTCCACCCACAGGTTTGTTGTCATTATCTGATTTTTGAGATTCTGTTAAACATTAAAAATCGGATTAGAACGAAATTTGAAAGGCGGCTTCGAGTGAACGAACACTGGCGAGACTCACAACATCGATGAGCTGGCTGAGCTTGAGCTTGATACGCACGGTGAGTGCGTCGCTCACGTTGAGCACTGGCCGCACCAGCTTGTTGTAGTTGCTCAGCAGGTCGTCGTACAGCCGCTTTGCGTCCGGGTTGCCTGCACATCCGGCGCATCCTGCGGCCGCACCCCCCACATGTCAATGAATGCGTTTAGAACCTTGTCCGCAAACTGACTAGCAGCGCACGTCTATTTCTACCAGCTGTCGCTATCGTGGTGCTGAGAACTTTATATGAATGTATAGTAATGCGCAGCGAGTCACCTTCTGTGCAAGGGGTGCATAACAAATGCAATATAAGGATTTGGCGGATTATCAACGGTAATGTTCGAGAAGTAATTTTTCAAACTACGTGAACCACACTATTTCAAATACAAATTTTTTCATATCTATGATTAATAAAGTGAATGTACTTACCTGCCAGCAACAGCGTGAGAAGCAGCAGCGGCAGCGCATGGGGCGCCTGGGGCGCATGACGCGCGAGAGGCGCGGGGGCCGCGCGGGCGGGCAGAGCGCGGGCGCGCATCCCGCGCGCATGGCGTCAGCACATGCTGCCTCGGCCGCCGAATGCCTCTGGCGCCGGCTGCCGCTGCCCGCTGCCCGCTGCCGCTGCCGACCTGCTACCGGTCCTCTTGCCAACGACTACGCTCCGAACCGAACTATAACTGGACGTAATAATGCATGACATTATCAATTGTCTCTTATCAATTATTTAAGAGATTTATTATCAGTTCCTTCTATTATTTCTATTATACTATCCGTGCACCAGGCCGATGTCGCTTGCGCGAACGCAACGCGTACCTCTATACCATAGTTCGATCCGGCGATACATTTTCGGCCCTTGAAATCGTTCGAATCGTGTCTGAGAACTCACATAGGGCAAACCGTCTCAAGTTCTTTTTCTGAGCATTGCCTCCTGATACCTCATATCTAGTCTGGACTTCTTTGAAAGGGCTTTGTGCAATTCGGTTTACTGGTTTGATATCGACGTTTTAGGTGGCGTTTACACAGACTGTGACTTTCATTTATTGTTTTTTTTTGTTTTATTTAAAAATGGGTTAATTTTAAAAGATATTTAGTGAGAGTGCTGCGAGCACGTGACCACATGAACGCATTTCCACTTTATTTTGGCTTGCGATTTACCTACCCTGATACTCGTATTGGTACATATTGTAGTCTCTATTCTGTCTTAGATAATATAGGGAAAGGTAATGACCAGGGTACGCACGGGCAAAACGTTTATGTTAAGGTTTGATTAAAAATAAAAACAAACAATAGGAACCAATTTTGATAAACATTTTCTACATTCTATTACATTTCTATAACATAAGTTAATAAACGTCAAGAACCAAACAAAAAACATAAAAGTTATCTCCTGTGATGGTAATTAAGATTCTTTTAACGACCTTCAAACTATCCGTTCCGGCCGTGTAGCGAGGGCAAAAGGAGTAAGTCAATGCAATCGTTACAAAACTAAGCGTCGCGGCCCAAGTAGGAAAAGCATACGTAACTTTTATAATAAGTACCTATATCAACGTATGTATCTAATCTGAGTGGGTGGAGGTGTACTGCTGTTTGTAATGATAACGCTGGAATTAATCAGAAACGCAAATGGTGTATATGTAAGTTTGTAGTTATGTATGTAGTAAAGGTTTGTATGTGTATAACTTCAACTGTGACCGCCTACAGCTTAACTGCTGAACCTATTTATAAATGAGGTGTCATCCTTTTCGTCTTTTTTTCTCGGAGTGTCATATGGTACATTACATTACATTACATCATTACATTGCAGCAGTTCTAAACACCTACAGTGGAGGTAAGAATTTGAATTATAAAAAAAAAATGTGAAAACCAAATCTCGCGCGCCATATTTTCTTTTTTTTGCTAGGCTTTAAAATATTTCATAGAAATCGTAACACGATATACACTAATTACAAATACAAGTATAAATGCGAATCTTCTTACGAATATTAAAATTCGGAACTACGAGTATGTATGGAAGGATGTTTGTTAGTTTGAAGGCTAAATGACTCAACGAATCTCGATGAAATTTGTCATACATGTAGAGGACAGTATGAAAGAACACATAGGCTATTTACTTTTGCTTCTTTTCTTTTTTTTTAAATCCACGCGGACGGAGTCGCAGACAAATGATAGTACTTGAATATAGGTCACTAGTTAGGTACCTTCTTTGATTAATGACACAGAATAGATTTAGCACGTATGTAAGTTGCTTTATAAGTATACCACGCTTAAGTAAGCGGTGTTGTACTCTGTATATTTTAGTGTATTTTGTTTGGAAGTCGGTTTTGATTTTTTTATTAAAAAGTTTATTTATTTCTCGATTTTTAGTGAATCTAAACATTGCAGTATGATAATCCCTAGCTTTCAAACAAAGTATGAGTTATCTAAGAAATTAAGTAAAAAACTAATACATCGTTGCGATCATTCACTCATAATTCTGTCCAGCCGCGCGCCGCTGTTGCCCGTGAGTTTTAATATTTTGATAACTTCTAGAATCTTGGTCAGAATTACATACTGTAAAAGGCAAATATGATCTACATTTAATACTCTATCGTGAAAACATATTTATTTGGATAAGGATTCATACCTAATCAGAATAAAAGCGTTTTAAATGAAGTCGATTGCATTTATTTGACGGTTTTCGCGAAACAAACGGTTATTGTGCGACAACCTTAAGAGATAGATATATGGTATCGCGGACTTTTATTTAGCTAATTGAATGAGCTACAATTCTTTCGTACATCATTTTTATGTAGGTCCTATAGTTTAGGCTACGTAAGCCAAGAAAGAAAACTTTGATACAAGTTGGTATTTTTTTCTGCGACTCGTAATTTGCTTTTTATGATATCTCCTAAACTATTGATCGGAATTGTATAGTTACAAGGGCATTTATATTCTACATTAAATTCTCTTGATGATGGACACATTTATTTGGATAAGGATTCATACCGAACACGAGTAATAGCGTTGAAAGTGGGGTGTAGATTTCGAGCGATATTTTAATGAAAAAAGTGGTTATTGTGCGACAACCTTAATAGCTAGATATATGCTATTAAGGACTTTTATTTAGAAAATTTAAAGGGCTACAATTCTTCCATACATCATTTTTATGTAGGTCTTATAGTTTAGGCTACGTAAGCAAAGAAAGCAAAAATGACCCGAAATTTCGTCGCGCCATTTTGAGCTAAACTATTTAACTACGTCGTAGTCTTTGACTCCAAAAATCAAACAAAAAAATGGGACCCACCTGCAAGCATTACCTTTCGGATAAAAAAAGAATTATCAAAATCGGTCCACTAGCGGCGGAGTTATGCCGTAACACATATAAAAAAAAACATACAGACGAATTGAGTACCTCCTTCTTTTGGGAAGTCGGTCAAAAATGCAATGTCTATGTGTAAAGCAACATTTTTTGTCATTAGGTACCTACCATATCTATACTAATATTATGAAGAGAAAAGATTTGTATTTTTTATGTAAATAACTCAAAAACTGTTGAGCCGATTTCAATAATTCTTACACCATGAAAAAGCTAGATTATTAGTGAGTAACATAGGGAAAGTTTTTTTTATTATTTGTTAATTTCACGTGAGCAACAGCTAGTTTAAAATAAATAAATAATGTGTTATATATTTTATTGGATAAAGAGGAACACTAACCAGAAGTAGCGCTACCACAAACTGCGAGTGAACATTATACATTGTAGCAAACACATCCACTGTACTTCACTCTTTGCTAGAGCTGGAGTCACGCCGACATAAAATAAGGTTACGTTCGGAAAATTAGACATTTTGTGCTAAATTTCGCTACTGCATGCATAATAGAAGAATCGATTATATGAATACAGAACTTCGACTTACAATAGGAAAATAGTAATGATTTTGGTACCTATTATTTTATAAAAACCGTGGAAATTCCTAAGCAGTTTATTTTTTAACTATAGATTAGACTTTAAAGGCAGTGTCTTCTGAGTTCAATGACCACGATACGGATAAATTAACTGCGCGAATCTGCCGTGTCGGGCGAGAGGGCACTCGGCACTGCAGGCGGGGCGGGCGCGGCGCGCGAGGCGGGCGAGGCGGACGAGGCGGGCGCGGCGTGCGGCGCGGGCGGGCGAGTGCCGCGGGCGGGGCCGGGCGCACTCGCTCGGCTGCGGCGCGGCGCGGTGCCGGCGGCCACTCGACCGGGGACACTCCGTCGACTGGTCGTCCCATCGCTGCGCGTTGTCGTTGCGCTGCGTCACTGCGCGGCAAACCACATCACCCTTTTTTTTTTTATACGCTGGGAAAATGCCTTTACGCATCCCCCCGTTGCCAGGGGGGGTATGTGGGACTCGCCGGCCAGAAGATGGAAAATGGCCGGAATACCCACTAAAAACCCAGCAGTGTTCCTTCTGTTCGCCTGCGGCTGGGTCACGGGAACGCTTATGCAATCTTCCGCGACCCAGCTGGCAAACCACATCACCCTGCCAGTTATGCACGGTTCACACTTATCACACACCAATCCATGTCAGCTACTGTCCATTGAATGTACCGTCGAAATCGGCCCAGCTATTTCGAGTTTAGATTAGCGATATGCGTTATGCGCTATGCACTTTGCGCTATGCGCTTTGTGCATAACGCGATATGGGTTTTTTTTTTGACTGAGTTGTCACTGTTTGCCTTGAAGAGGCATTAACAGATTCACCGGGACGATATGGGTTTTGCGCTATGCGCTATGTGCATAACGCGATATGCCATTTTCGAGTTTTCGATGAGCGATATGTGTTATGCGCTATGCGCTATGTGCATAACGCGCTATGCGATTTTCGAGTTTCGAGTTTCGAGTTTTCGATTTTCGAGTTTTCGATAAGCCATATGCGTTATGCGCTATGCGCTATGCGCTATGCACTATGCGCTATGGGCTATGTGCATAACGCGATATGCGATATGCGATTTTCGATTTTCGAGTTTCGAGTTTTCGGTAAGCGATATGCGCTATACGCTATGCACTATGCGCTATGCGCTATGCACTATGCGCTATGTGCATAACGCGATATGCGATTTTCGATTTCCGAGTTTCGAGTTTTCGATAAGCGTTTCGCGATATGCGCTATGCGCTATGCGCTATGCACTATGCGCTATGCGCTATGTGCATAACGCGATATGCGATATGCGATTTTCGATTTTCGAGTTTCGAGTTTTCGATAAGCGTTACGCGTTATGCGCTATACGCTATGCGCTATGCACTACGCGCTATGCGCTATGTGCATAACGCGATATGCGATATGCGATTTTC